GCAAACATGGATACTTATATGTATGCATAATACATATATACGTAATACACACACGTATATATAGATATATAGTTGGATATATATATATATATATATATAGATAGATACCTATATAGATAGATAGATGGATATATAAACAGATATGCAGATAGACAAATGGGTAGTTGAAATTCATTATTTTGTATACACACACACACACACACACACACACACACACACACACACACACACACACACATATATATATATATATATATATATATATATATATATATATATATATATATATATATATATACACATATATACATACATAGATACACACACACAAATATATATATATATATATATATATATATATATATAGAGATAGATAGATAGATAGATAGATAGATAGATAGATAGATAGATAGATAGATAGACAGATAGATAGATTTGTATATATATGTGTGTAACATATATATATGTATATATGTATATGTATATATATATATATATATATATATATATAACATATATATATATATATATAAATATATATATATATATAAATATATATATATATATATATATATATATATATATATATATATATCACACACACACACACACACACACACACACATATATATATATGTAGGCTACGAAACTACGAAATCGATAGTAGACAATCGACAGGAAAATTGACAGGGTTGGGGCGCCAAAGGAGACGAACCGTTTTCTTTATAGTCCCGCATTCCGGGCCGAGCCAACCTTCCTCTTCGCCGGCTTTTCTTATCAAGCATTATCGTCGACATCCTTGTCTTTTATCGGATCCTTACCGGTTCCAACTACAGCTTCGATAAGGAAGGGAAATGGAGGTAAAAGTGAGTGGGCTGAGCAACGATAGGTCTGATTCTGGCCATTTAAAAATTGTGTTTTGAATGATAATGGCTAATAACGGCAATTCGATTGATATTTTTGATATTGAAATGAACAATAAATATTCAGAACTTTACATATGATATAGATGATAGTAGTAATAATAATGGTAAGTGTAGTTAAAAGGTAATTCGAATGATATTAGGATATTTTACGATCATGATAAAAGTATGATAATGATGATAGTAGAAAGTGTATAATAGTAAGGAAGTTTGTGTTGCTGGTTTTACTATTTTTTACCTTAAGGGGGGAGGGGTAGTGATGTAAAATATTAGTTAGAAATATAACTAGCGACGGAAGTCACAAATGGGTATAATGACAATAACGATGATGACGATAGTAATTACTGCAACATAAATGATAATGTTAGTTGAAATAATATCAACTACATTATGGAAATACCGATAATAGTGATAGCAACAATAACAATGAGAAGAACAACAAAAGCGACAGCAACAGCAACAACAATAACAATAAAAGCATGATGCTAATATCATAAAAATAATAATGATGAATAGGAATAGTACAAGCGACAGTAACAACAATATTGCTAAGAGAAATAATATCAACTGAAATAAGATAACAAATCAATGAATAATATAAATAATAACGGTAACAACGCCGGAGATCATGGTAATAACAACAGCAGCAACCCTGTTACTACAAGTTATGATTATGATTATGATAGTGATGGTCAGTAGCGTAGCGAGGGGGGGGGGGCAAGGGGGCCCCCCAATGCACAGAAAGTTGGTCTCTGAGAAAAGTGCAAATCTGCAATAAAATTTGTAGGGGGCCCCCCTACAAATTTTATTGCACAAATGGCATAGCTCATTATAAGCCATCTAAAAAGAGCCGTTTTCCATCATTCTAAGGGGCGTGGTCTTAAATTTTCCCGGGGGAAGATTCCCGGACCCCCTGCTATTTTTCTTACCTGTTTGCCCCCCCAATCTTCCCGCTCTGGCTACGCCACTGGTGATGGTGATGATACAACAAAGGACAACAATAATGACGATGACGACGACGATAGTGATAATAGTGATGAGAATGAGGATGGTGATCCTGATCCTGATTCGTGTTGGTAGGGATGATTGTGTTGATAACAATCGTAAAATGTATGCTTATAATGATATATCACCTCTAACGAATGCATTGAAAGAGAAGGATTTTGATTACCATAAGCAGCAACGAATATTAATGTATTTGGTTGTCTTATTTAAATTAACTGACGCCATTTATTGTGATTCCCTTTTCACTTCACTTACCTCTAAAAAGGACAGGAAGTTCTTTACTTTAGTTACCCATCAAATATGTTTTCTTTAGAGATAGAGAAAATGGTCACTTTTAACTTTTGAGGAGACACTTACATGTATTATACTTTAAGGTATTTTTCCTTGTGGCTGTAATGGTAAACGGTAAATATAAAAGATGGTATGATACAGAAAAATGAGAAGGCAAAAATAGCAGAAGTAAGCAAACTATCAGGAATGAAGGGGTGAACTGTGAAATAACACCAAATTAGAAAAAAAATATGTTTAAGCAGATAAGGAAGAAAGAGATTTTGAATATTACAGACGAGTCAAGTTGAGCCTAATATGTGTTTCAGCAGAAGTAAAGGATTGAAAGGAAATAAAGTATATGGGATAACCAGGCAACAGGGCACAGATAGACAAGTGAATAACTAGAAACAGAGAAATAGTGGAAATAAGCAGAAGTGATAAGTATAAGAAGGATAAGTAAAAATGAGTAGTAATAGACAAAAAGCAAGACATAAACATTCGTCCTTCCCTCATCATTCACGAGTGAATTGAGAATTAACTGTAGAATATATTACGGCTGGAATGGAGATTTACTGCATTTTTTATTAGACTTTTTGATATTATGATGACAAGGGGCAGAAGGCCTTCGACGTTGATTACAGTGATGACTATCCGAATTGTATGCTTCTTGTTAAAAGCATTTGAACAGTTATGATAATCGTTTTCGTTATCATTTTGTCAAAATTATCGTTAATATTATTTTCATTGCTAATCTCAATTATCATTATCATTTTCAATATCCGTCAATATGGTTCTGTCACTTTGTTCATCGACTTCAATTACCTGATTCTAAGCAGTAATTCTTCACTTATTACGGAACAAGACCGCAATGGCTTTCGCAACCATATATTAGGGCGACAAATCACATGCATTTGGAGAATGCCGGTACCATTACTCATATAATGAATCACTGTACATTTCATTCTCCTTTCTGTTTACATTGCCTTCCAGATTCTTTGACGATTATTTGGAGGTTACGCTGTTACTTAATCTACAAATAGGCTTCCATAATGAAGCCTATTTTGTGCTCTTCTGACTTATCCTTTACTTGCTGTATATCTGTATGTCCAGTGCATAGTCTATTTTGTATAGTATGTTGTATTATACTGAGGTCAGCCTTTGGTCGTAGTAAGAGAGCTCTTTTTTTTAGACATGAACATATTGGCATCAGACTGGTGTCGCACTGAGTAAAACAGTGATATTTTATATTACAGTAAGTGTAGGCGGGCTCATACAACTCTGAGTTGATAAGCTGTTCTGTAACCCTGAAACATGCAGATGCTTACGATATGAGAATGCACGCCTGTCCATATTATACAGTGGGCCGACAGAATCCTCGGTGAGGTGCTTGAAACAAGCCATTACGCTTGTTCATTGAAGGTTGTTGTATATGTAACAATTAGGTTGGCCAGTATTTCGTATTTTCGTAAATCTAATGTGCGCACTTACTCTTGATCATTTTCTTGGTCTTGAAAACTGATTTGTCATGTTTTTTATTATTATCATTTTTCTTTTTAATCTGTTCATTGACTCGTTTTAATAATTTTATCCTGTCATATTTGGAGTTTAGTTTTCCAGAGTATACTTTCTTATTCGTTTTTTTTTCACATAAAGCTAAATACTAACCAAGTATCATACATCACCTCATGGCAAATCTATGGCACCGGGTTTCCATGATTTACAAAACTGATACTGAACACTAGAACGCAATTAGAGTTCTAAGTATCTGGTATTTTTCTCTAAGACTGAAGCCAGTTCGAGTCTTTGGGAGTTTCAATCCAGTCCCTTCCGCACTATGGATTTACATCCCCTGTCGTAGTGAAGAGTGAGTGGAACCCTTAAGGAGGAGTTTTGCCTAGACTCATTTAACATGTATTTTTCATTATCATTATTATCACTACTATTGTTGTTGTTGCTTTATTGCTATTTTGTTGTTGTTGCTATTATTGTTATTCTTATTATTTCATTATTATTATCATAATTATCATCATCATAATCATTATCAATATTATGATTATCATTGCCAATGCCATTATTATTATTGTTATTAAAATCATCATTATTATAATCCTCACTATCATAATTATCAACTTCATTAACCGCATCCTCACCATAACAACAACAACTACTACTACCATTATTAATACCACTACTATAACGAATAATAGTAGACTTATCCTTATCATCATTACTTTTCTCATTATCATCATTATCATTGTAAGAATTATCTGTATCTGGCAGTCGTTAATTACCAGCATGTTTCAGATGTATCCTTCATTTTCCGGTCACGGTTATCTTTGAGTTCAATCCCCCATTTTTCAACTAACTCCTCGGAAATGGGGGCATGTGCAATATTAAAAGAAGAGTTTGAAAATTTCGTTTTCATTGACTGAAATTGAAATTTGTATATATGTATATATGTATATAAATAAATAAATAAATAAATAAATAAATATATATATATATATATATATATATATATATATATATATATATATATATATATATATATGTATATATATGGAAACATTCTCTGCAGAAATCTTTATTGTTTCGAAATGAATTCGAAGTTATATTCAGTCTGTGAGTCATACGATGATTTTTAAAAATATATTTCAGATATATTAATGCATTACAAATAGCACCCAGACAAATAATCAAGCGAATGCAAAATATAAGTAATGAAACAATACAAGATTAAGAATAAGGAAAACGTGAAATTAAGACATAGAGGAAAGGAAAGGCACAAAAAAAGCTTTAGTCTCGATCTGATATTCTTTTATTTCCGAAATACAGAAAAAATGGAGACAATTCTTATATACGTCAGGTTTCATTACAGTCTTTTGAAGATTACAGAAATTGCGAAATAATTAAAGAAAGGATAAAAATAAGAAATAAAAAAATCTAAATAGAGTTGATGGCACAAGTTGGAAATATACAGAAAAAATATATATAATCTCATATAATTTGATATACTCTATGTACATTTGTATATATATACATACATACATGCATACGTACATACATATATATATACATACACAAATATAAGTTGATTAATTTATTTCCAAAAAGAACTGAAGACTGTTGAAAGATGTTCTCTCTAAGGATGTTAATGAACGCCAAAGATGTTATTTCATTCCTGGCAACATCTCCTTTGTTGTTTACTTGAAGTAGTTGGCGCTGAAAATACAAAGCGAAATGTTAATAACGCGATTCTTGGATTTACATAATTGAATAAATACCTAGATAAATAAATAAATAAATAAAATAAAACATTAATTTAAAGAATTTGCGGCAAGACACAGACTCTCCACTTATTCATGCCGATTCAATGGACTAGAAGTTTCCTCTATCGTCAGATATTACTGTCACAGTTATGTGCAGGAGGCTGGGCATATCTGCGGGGAAGTGCTTGCATTGCCTCCATGCTCTGCCGCTCTTTGATAGCATTTAGGCTTTTAGACCAATTACACATACAAATGAACAATCACACACATACACACACACACACACACACACACACACACACACACACACACACACACACACACACTTACTCACTCACTCACACACACACACACATACACAACTTACTCACGCACACACACAACTTACTCACACACCTACACCTACCCACCACACACACACGCACACAAACCTTCCCCCGGACACGCCACGACCCAACCGAACCGACTCACCACTCGGGCACATATTCGGGGTCTTCGCAGGTCAGAGTAGCCTCGTTGAAGACAGTATAGTCCCCGCACCCGATGAGTCTTGGGTTTCCGTCCACGCAGATGATGTAGCGGCCACAGTCACGAGCCGAGTACCTGGGGAAGGGCTCGAACCGGGCGGCGAGGCTGCCAGGTTCGGCGTAAGCTGGGCACTTGAAGCCGACGACCTCTGCGAAGGGAAGGGAGGGACAGGGTAGAGGGTTAGACACATTGGGGGACAGAATGCGGTTACAACATGGAAATCCCTTGCTTGGTCGAAACTGTTATTCTTTAGAAGATAATGACGAGATGTTTTTATTTTCCTGATGTAATAAGAATATGAACTGTCAACAATTAACTATTTTGATACTAGTTGACCAAACTACTACCAGAGAGAGAGAGAGAGAGAGAGAGAGAGAGAGAGAGAGAGAGAGAGAGAGAGGGAGGGAGGGAGAGAGAGAGAGAGCTAAACGGATAGAGACACATAACAATAATAGACAAAAAGAGAAATAAAAATACATGGACAGAGGGAGACAAAAGAGATACACCTAAACTGAAAGAGGGAGAAATAAAAAGAGAAAGAAAGAACCAGAAATAATAAGGACACGAAGAACAGGTTCCCCATTAGCGCGGCCTTCCATCATCACGAGTAACTAATTAGAAAGAACTTCATTTGCTAGAATGACTTATAAGTGGTCCCGGATTCGACGCAGAAAACTTCGTCGATATTCTTTCTTGACGATTTCTGAAGTAGAGCTGTTTTATAAATATCTCAATTTTGCGTCTGTTTAATAGTTTCTCGTAATGTTCCAGTTAGCTATCGTAATTCCTTAGTATCTATTCATTCTTTTTATCTTTATTCATCCCGAATACTCATCACTTCTGAATGTCTTAGTATCTTCAGCCACGTGGGTTTTATCTTCTTTTGTTGGACTCCACTCTCCCTCACAAGCTAATTACTCTAATTATGCTAATGAGTTCTCGAAACAACTTTCCAGGCGCTTTTTTCTTGCTGCATACTTCTGACTTCTTGTATATCTATCATATTTGTAACTTTATTTTACTACTATTAGCCCAACAAAACAAGACAAATGCTTGAAGGAAATTACAGTAGATAAGCGTATGCATAGGAACACACGTGTATATAGACACGAAGAAGGGAAGGGAGATAAAAAAGGGAGTGACAAAGAAAGAAAAGATGAAACAAAACGCCAGCCGTTCTGCGCAGACGCAGAGCGAAGGCCACCCACCCTCGGGGACGCAGTACTCCAGGAGGTCGGGCCAGTTGCAGCCGTGGATCCTTTCGTCGTAGGCGAGTCCGGGCGTGCAGGGGAATTCCTCTGGCTCTCCGTAGGAGCACTTGGTGTAGTAGGTCTCGCAGGGGCCGTTGGAGAAGATACCGAAGGAGAATTCGCAGATACCACGGGCGATGGGGGTCACTGAGGGCCGGGGAGAAGGTCATTTTCAGCTTAAGGTCAATGATTACGCAAAAAGTTTAATGTTATAAAAGCATTCGCAGCTAAAAAAATGCCTCAAATTAACCTTTT